AGTAAATAGTGGCCATGTTTTCTTGGCCAAATATGTGGCCTCATTTCTGACAAAGAATTGCATAGTACTTTATGATGTGAGAGCCAATAGAAAGTGAAATTGAACATCAAAATATTCATGTTTCTAGGATATTTTAACTTTCCTGAAAAGACTATGCAGCCAGGATTGTAATCTAAGAGTGATAGCACAGATTCATGATATTTAAATACTTATAAATTGGTTTAATATGCTTCCAGCTTCTTGAGTGTAATCTTGAAATATATGTCATTAAAAAATGCTATTATTCACAATAGTCAAGATATTAAATCAACATACATATTCATCAATGAATAAATGGATAAAGAAAATGTATAAAGAGAACCTGGAGGACATTATGTTAAGTGAAATAAGCCAAGCACAGAAAGACAAATAGTGCATGATCTCACTTATATGGGGATGGGATATTCATGGTAGCAGAGAGTAGAATTGTGACTACTGGGGCTGGTAGGAATGGGAGAGAATGGGAGGATGTTGGCCAAGGGATACAAAATTCCAGTCAGACAGGAGTTATGAATAATTTTGGAGGTCTAGTGTATACATGATGACTCTAGTTAATAACAACATATTGTATACTTAAAAATTGTTAAGAAAGTAGATTTTCATGTTCTCACCACAATAAAATAAGTATGTCAGGTCATGCATATGTTAATTAGCTTGATTTAGCCATTCTACAATGTATAGTATTTCGATACATTATTTTGTACACCATAAATAAATACTTTTTGTTGATTAAAAAAGAAGAATGATGAATGAAGATTTTTAGACTTGGTAATTTGGTCATAAAGAACAGATGTGGCAGCTCCCTAAACACAAAAAGGGTAGCGTTCCCCATCTTGAGATGAGTCAGATACAGCATCCTACCTGTGGTCTCTAAGAAACACTGCACAGGTGGAAGTTCACGAGGAAGGATGGTGCCCATGTTGGTGTCGCTCCCTGCTCTCAGTGGTTTCTCTCCCTCAAAGGTTTTGTACCAATGCCTAAGTAAATCTGTTGGGAACCAAGAATAAGAACTTTTAAGTATGTGAAGGCTTCTATACACATGCAGCTTAAATTATCATTATTTTTGCATATCCCCTGCCAATCTTACACATCTTGTAATGTGGTGCTTGTAGGTTATTTCATTTCCTCCACCTTGGCTAATAGTAGACATAGAAAGCACTCAATAAATGGTTAGCATTTATGGCTTGAGTTGTGTGAGAGCATCACTAACATCAAACTCTCCAATGCCATAGGTACTGTATATCCCCATCCCTCTCACCTCATTTTAAAGATGAAAAATACTCAGGCCTAGATAACTGATTTATTCAAGATCATAAAGCTGCTAAGTGCAGAGGTAGATTTAAGCTCAGGCTTCTCTGACTCCATAGCCCATATTCTTAACCAGAAGCTCTCAAAGATGTCTTGTCAGAATCACCTGACAACTACTACACTAGAATCTTCAGGCATGGAGCTCTGGGTCACCAAAGCTCTCAGAAGATTTTGATGCAACCAGATCAAAGATTTGAGAAGCTCTACTCTAAAACACTACTCTATGCTTCCTCCTCAATAAATGTCTGCTAAATGAATAAGTGACTACTGGAATTCTACCACTGATAATCCACTCCTGCATTAAGATTTGCTCTCAAGCAATGATCACATTTTAAAATGCAAATATTCCTGAGAGGCTGTTTCTCAGTTCTCTAGTTTCTTTTTTTTTTTTTTTTTTTTTGAGTGCAATGGCATGCTCACAGCCACTGTAGCTTCAACCTGCTGGGTTTAGTTCATCCTTCCACCTCAGCCTTCCAAGTAACTGGAACTACAGGCACATGCCATGACATTGGGCTAATTTTTTGATTTATTGTAGAGACAAGGTCTCATCAAGTTTCCCAGACTGGTCTCGAACCTCTCAGCTCAGGCAATGCTCTCACCCCCACATCCCAAAGTGCTGGCATTACAGGTGTGAACCACCACGCCCAGCTCTCCAGTATCTTTATCAATAACTCAGACATGGTTACAGAGAGACTCAGCCTTGGTGGCTGTCAGAGGAGCCAGATTAAGGACAGGATAAGGCCAGAAGTGTAGACCAAAATGCACATCTTTATTCAGGATGGGATAAGGCAAGAAGAGCAGAGCAGTCACAAAAAGTATACATCTTATGATTCACTTTACATAAAATGTCCAGAAGAGGCAAATCTCTAGAGACAAAGAGTAGACTTAGTGGCTGCCAAGGGATAGGGGGTTCAATAGGGAATAGTGAATGACCATTCACAGTTATAGAGTTTCTTTTTGGGGTGATAAAAATGTTCTAAAATTGATTGTGGTGATGTTTGCACAACCTTGTGAATACACTAAAATCCACTGGGTTGTAAATTTTTAAAGTATGAATTTTATGATATATGACTTATATCCCCAAAAAGCTGTGAAAAAAACAAAAGGCAGTACCAGAAGACCGAAGAGTTGCAGTGAAATTAGAATATGAGAACTGTGAGATTGCAGGTGTCCATTATGACTGGAGAAGGCTTTGGAAAGTTCTCCTGTGCCAGGAGGTGTATAGGACCACAGTTATGGTGTTGCTCTTGTGAAGGTATCCATGAGCTGATGCCATCAGTAATTTCCTATGATGCTTTTTCTTTTCTGACTGTACATCTAACTTTCTTTTTCTTCAACCTTTATGGGACTCAATTCACAGTACTTCCCAGTTTAAAAATACATACAGTCAGGCACAAAGTTTTATATTTTTTAAGAAAGGATTATGAGTTAAAGTGTAAAATATATCTATTATATCTGTTCCATTGGCACATTTTTGCTGCAAACAATTCTTCAGAGCTAGTACCCTCTATTTCTAATGGGAGAGAAGTCTGTTCAAACTAGTAATAATGTTTTAAAATAGGGCATGATCCCTTCAATGTCTCCAAGTGTGTCAAAGCTGCCGCCTCCTTTTCATCTGTCTTGGAGCAGCCTTGCTGACTCCCTCAGATGCAGTACCTTCCTCAAATGCACATAGGAAGAGCACAGCCGACAGGATAAGAGCTTGGGTCCCAGTCTCGGATTGCTGGAATTTGAATCCGAGCTTCACCTCCTCTCAAGTTGATCTCTGCAGGCAAGTCACCTAATCTTTCAACTCATCATTGCTCCCTGAATCTTTCTGAGAATTAATTGAGCACAGTCTGTTACGGGCGTAGTCCAGTGATGGACACATGCTGAACAGTCATCACTGTCAGCTTTTATGATGATGATTGCTCTTATATTTGAATACTGCTCTACTTTCTCATGCCTGCATGATCAAGTCCAAACTCCCTAGCCTAGCATGCGGGAACCTTTGAAATTCTACCTCAACCTGTCTTCTCCCAGTCTACAATCCTTCCTGAATACATCAGGCAAATGTGTGGCTCCAGGTTTTGGCCCAAGCCTTCACCTTCCGTTCCATATCTCCATCTAGAAAAGCCCTGTCTTCATTCAAGAGGGACAATTAAGCTTTTCCCCAGCTCCTTTTTCCTCTGAGTTCCAACAGCACTTAGGGGATTTGAGAGAAGTTGGCCAAAGACAGACATATTTTATAGGGAAGGCAAACAGAACTTCCTAGTGAACTGGATCAGAGAAACAAGGAATAAAGCAGAAAAAAGGATGCCACCCAGCTTATATCTGGTACACCCCAGCACATGGCAATGTCACTTGATGATATGGGAAAACTCAGGAAAATAAAGTTTGGGGGACTAGTAGTAAAGACATCTGTATTAATTATTACTGAGATGCCAGGCAGGCATTCAGCTGGATTTGGTAAGGAAGCAGTTGAGTGTGCATGTGAGCCTGGGGTTTGGAGAATGGTCAAATCTCTGGACATATGCTGGGTCCTAACCAGAGGAGATCATCTGGAGAGGCCTGGAGATCAATGGCATTAGCGGCACCCGGGGGTGAGAAAGTGTAAGACACACGGGGGAACTCACTCACCCAGTACCTACTTGAGGTTGAGCCCTGTCTTATTTATCTTTGTGCCTAGTGGTAGTTGTCACATGGGTGTTCACTTAATTTCAGCTGAATTTATTTCAATACTGAAAGCAAAGGTAGTCTCTCAGAGGTCTCCCAGCCTTGCATGTTAATGATTTGGCAAGCTTTGTAAAAGAGGCATGAAGGACAATTCCACTGTCCAGCACAAGAAGACAAGTGTTCTATTGTGGACAAGAGCAACCTCCCATCCCCAGCCTCTCCCTGTGCACATGCCCCCAGGGACGCACTCCGAAGAGCATAGCCTCAGTGCTCAAAAGCCCAGGGTCTCAGCGTGGCCTTCTGGTCTGTCTGTGGTGCCTTCAGAAAGCAGCAGCTGCTGGCATGTGCAAGTGGTGCCAGGGGTTCCCTTTGTTCCCTTTGCTCCTCCGTAGACCCAACTTCCAGTTTTTTGAAGGCTGCATGAGAAACGTTCTGCAAATTCTTGTCCTGCTTTCCCACTGAGTTTAACAGTTTCCTATTGATGTTTTTTTGACAAACTTGTTCCTATGAGATATTTAGAATTTGTAAATAAAGACACATTTACCTTCCCCTCCTCTCCTCTTGCACCATTCCTATTAAGCTCTCAGCATCTTTCACCTGTCTGTAGGCTCCTATCTGGTCTCCCTGCCTCCTTTCTCCCTCCACTCTCCCACCAGAATAACCACACTGAGGTTCTGCTCTATTAGGGCTCACACCTGCCAAGAACTTCAGCAGCTTCCCTGTTGCCTACTGAAAAAGGATTCCACAATTCCAAGCTTGGAATTCTAGGTCTCCCCACCATCTGCACTTTACAGGACACTTTCCAGCATTAGTACCCATTGACCATATCTGGGGGTGTAATTAATCATACTCGTTTTCCCACAAAAGGGTCACTGCAATTTCTGTTATGTCTCAACACCTGCATTTCTTTTTTCCCAGGATGCTTCACCTTTGTCTCCATCTGTGATCACCTTACCCATGCCTCAGTTTCCAGGCAAGGGTATCTTCTTCAGGGAGCCTTTCTTATTCACCTCAGACAAAAAGAGAGGCCCTATCTATACTTCTGAAGCAGTTAGTGTGAGTTTCTCTAAAAAACATTTATCAGATAGATGATAGGTAATAATATAGATAGATCAATGTAGATAGGAAGGTAGGTAGATAGGTTGATGGATGGATAGATAGATAGATAGATAGATAGATAGATAGATAGATAGATAGATAGATAGATAGATAGATGAAAGAGCTAGATAGGTAAGATGATAGATGGATAGATGATAAGTTATATAGATGAAGTAGGTAGATGATAGATAGATAACAGACATGATTAGATAGGGAGGTAGGGAGGACGATTCGTAGAAATGATAGAGATAGATGATTAGGTAGATAAATAGATAACAGATAGATGATAGAGATAGATAATGAGATAGATTAGATAGATGAACTAGATAGATAGATGATAGATATAACAGTGATAGATGATAAAGATAGGTGGATGGAAGAGATAAATAGAGAGATAAATGATAGAGGATATAGATGATAGATAAATAGATGCTAGAGAGAGAGACATGCATAGATGGATGATAGAGATGATAGATATGAATAATAGAGATAGATGCATAGATAGATGATAGATGAAATAGATGATATAGATAATAGATAGATGATAGAGATAGATGCTTAGAGATAGGTAGATGATAGAGATGATAAGTGATAGAGATAGATACATAAATGCATAGATACATAGATAGATAGGTAGATAAATAGATGATTAGAGGTACATGGGTGGTAGAGATGATAAATGAGATAGATGATAGAGATAGATTCATACATACATAGAGATGGACAATAGAGACGGGTACATAGATGATAGAGATAGATGGATGATATAGATAGAATGATAGATGGGATTGATAGATGGATAGATGATAGAGATTAGATAGAAAAAATTTTTCCTCTTGGTTGGAATTCGGACTTATTTTTCTGTGTCAACATACTGTACCCACCACAGCACATGGAAGCAGTGCTAACAATATTAACTGAATGAATGAATATGTGAGTGGCTCTGTTAATCCAGTAATCCATTTGTAGGTAATCCCACTCTCACAGTTTAGCCATTACTTGCATAAGCTTCTGTCTTTGTACATTGGGTTTTCTTAAAGTTGGGGCTCTCTGCTTTATGAGTTCACCACATAGGTGACTTCCGTTAATAACTGTGTCCCTTATGGCCAGAGTATCAGTTGGTAACATGGGGGATACAAGGACAGAAGAGTGGGCAGTTCAGCAGAAAGAGCTCTCCAAGGCATGAGAGCCATATGTGTACAGGTGAAGGATTATGAGCAAGGCATGGACATAACCAGACTAACCTTTTGGAACGATAATTCTACGTTTCTGTGCAAAGTGGGCGGGAGAACTGGAGCACCTCTCGGGCTGAGAGTGAACTGACTGGCACTTCACACAGACCTTTGCCAAAACAATAACCGTTGTCTGTGTCCTCTATTCAGGGCTTCCAGGGCAGCAGTCAAGGAGACCTTACCAAGGAGCACCACACAGTAGATGCTGAGACATCACACTCCAGGATAAGGAACAGGAACATGGCAGCACCTGTTTGAAAGAAAATTAAAACCCAACAGACTCCATTTAGAAAGGAACAATGTCCAAGAAAGGGCGGAATAAGGGCGAGAAGCCCGAGGCACTCATTGTTGCCCTTCAAGCTGCCAATGAAGACCTCAGGACCAAGCTCACCGACATCCAGATAGAGCTGCACCAGGAGAAGTCCAAGGTGAGTGTGGGCCACTGTGGCCATGGCCTTGAGAGCAGCCCTGGCCCTGCCACATGCAGGGACCACAGCTCTGCCTGCTGGCTCCTGGAGACTCCTGCCATTTGCCAGAGAGGGCAACGATCCCTGTACACAAAGATTCTCCTGTATGGGGTGTGGAGAGCTGAGTAGGATACACAGGAAGAAGGAGCAGTGTACTCACTAGACGAGTCTCTGCCTCCTCAGGAAGCCAGATAGAGAGTGGAGATGACAGCCTCCACCACTTCTGCTCAGTGCTCAATACTTGGGCAAGTTTTGCCTGGCCCTCTCTAGGTCGTACCCCACAGCATCAGAGCAGTCGTCCTAACATGCATCACACTTTGATCCTCCACTGTCCAGTATTCTCCCGTGACTTCCTACCTCTCCTGGAGTCGAAGTCTTTCCCTCCCATCACAGGATGTTACCACCAGCCCCTATCTGACTCATCTCCCTCTCCTCTTTCTCGATCATTATGCTCTGGCCCTTTGCCGGGCCAAGAGAGAGATGCTGACCACAGCTGGGCCTTTGATCTTCTTCTTCTTCTGGTCAGCTTCCTGCTCCTCCTCCTCTCTCCTCCAGGTGTCTGCTCAAGTATCACTCAGATGACCACAGTCTATAAAACAGAACACTTCCCAGTGCCAGAGCCTATTTGCTTATTTCATAACAGTTTATATACTTATTTATTCACTGGTTTAGTACTATCTCTCCCCAGTCCATTGTGATCTCTGTGAAAGCAGGGACTTAGCTTACTTAGTATCCCTACATCCTAAATCTGCGGTCCCCAACCTTTTTGATATAGGGACCAATTTCATGAAAGACAATTTTTCCACAAACAGGATGGGGGGATGGTTTCGGGATGATTCAGGCACATTACATCTATTATGTACTTTATTTCTATTATTACGTCATAATATATAATGAAGCATAATGCAGAATTATACATTATACAACTCACATAATGCAGAATCAATAGGAGCCCTGGGTTTGTTTTTCTCTAACTAGATGGTCCCATCTGGCGGTGATGGGCGACAGTGACACCCAAAGTGTGTTGCCTATGTTCAGTCTGCTCCATAATCTTGTTCTGGTTGCTGTCATTGCAGAAAACCCTGCTTCACAAAGATAGGATGTTAGAAACGGAAGCAGGCTTTTCAGTGCTGATCTGACAGGAGGCGGAGCTCAGGTGGTCAGGCGAGCGATGGGGAGCGGCTGTAAATACAGATGAAGCTTTGCTTGCTTGCCACTCACCTCCTGCTTTACAGCCCGGTTCCTAACAAGCTTTGACCATGACCTGGGAGTTGGAAACTCCTGGCTTAAATAATGTCCAGAACTTAAATTATCAGCATATGTTTGTTGATTGAATAGTATAATAATCAAAAGCAAATTCATTCCTTATATCTTAGTTGCTTCATTAGTAAAACATCACTATTATATCATAGGGCTGTGATGAGGTGTAAATTAGACAAGTCCATAAAGTATTTACAAGGATTGAATAAGAATATGTCAAGTGCTCAGAGAGCTACCTAACACGTAGTGAACTGTCAAAAACGTTATTAAGATTAGTATTTTCTAGTCGGGCTCGGTGGCTCAGCCTGTAATCCCGCGCCTTTGGGAGGCTGAGGTGAGTGGATTGCCTGAGCCCATGGGTTCGGGACCCACCTGGG